AGTCTGCAAAGAGCCAGCCTAGAGCAAAGTGGGGTGACTGGTGCCTCTCTGCCTTAGGGTTGGGGAATTTCCCCCAAATTCATGTTTGGTTATGCTTACTCTAAGGTTCTGTAAGGTTTCATATGATTTATTGAATGTTTTGCTATGTTTGTAGTTGATGTAAGGTTATGGGGATTCAAATCAAAGATGGAGTCTGAACATTCAAAGTGGCGTTTGCCTTGAAGGACATCAGTGACTCCATATTGGTACCCCACCTTCATGGACAGTTTCATGTGAAAAATAACAGACTGTGGGGTGACCAGTTCTAACTGGCTCCACCACAGAATCTTCGCGCCATCGAGGTTATAAATAGACTGCGCAAAACGGACATTCTTGCTGTCCGTTCAGAAGGCAGCCAAGTGCCGTATTGTTTACGTGGGCAATGGACCAAGATTCATCTGATCCAGACGGCAACAACATCATCTTACCTGCACCTTACCTGTGGTATCCTGGTTCCTGATCCATCCTCCATCTGTGGGTCTGGGTTCCAGCACCGCCAGTCCAGGAACTCTTCCTTGGACTGAGCCTGGCCAGGGACAACAGTTGAAGGTCCTGGGTCCAACGATCTCAAGCTGCAAGCAAGGCACTCCCCATTATCAACCTGTCCAGAAGTCATCAGACAGCAGTACAGTATTTAGGGGTTTTATGTTAGGCTGTTACCAAGGGAGGGGTCATTTGGGGACCTGAGCTTCAGGCTCAATCAGGGAAGCAACCACATCTGTGTGTTTATTATTGTTTGTTTTTTCCCCTGTTATCCCACACTTTGTTGTTTATCCCTAATAAACCTGTGGTTTGTTTTCGAAGAATATCTTACTCTCTCACTTTTCTGTTTCACTGCACCACACTGGTGGGAGGTGGGACTGACATTACTGCTCCCCAGGTGATATAAGTCTATCATATGTAACTAAACTATTGTATGTAAAGTAAATAAGGTTTTTAAAATGTTTAAGAAGCTTCATTTAAAATTAAATTAAAATGCAGAGCCCCCTGGACCGATGGCCAGGACCCGGGCAGTGTGAGTGCCACTGAAAATCAGCTCGCGTGCGGCCTTCGGCACGCGTGCCATAGGTTGCCTACCCTTGTGATAGACCCTGAGTCCCAGACAAGAACCTGAGCCCTGTAAGCCAGAAGTAGATTCTTTCATTTAAATTAGGGAGCAGCCTGCTTTCTCTTGGTTTTTGCTTCTTGTGTGTTAAGGTTCTGGAATTTAAGAATAGAATTAGTATTATGCTGCAACCTTCCAGAAAGAATGTTTGAGGTTTTTAATCTACCTTCTCTGTTTTGATGTTGTGGACGTAACTGTCCATATAAGAGGTTAATGGTCTGTTACTGCTGCCAGCTAAGGGAATTTGATCCTTTAACTCGAGCACTAGCAGCTCATGCTTTGAGTGAAGAAAGTCCTGGGGCCAACCCCTGCCTGTGGCCCTTCTGGGGCCAGTTACTCGGGTATTTCACATTTACATGTTTTCATCCTCCAGGCTTGGAGGGAATGGACTGAATTCCAAATGATGCGTTTTAAGATCATTTTGAAGATCTGTACAAAGAACCTCTGTCTTACTCATTTCCTGGGTTGATCCCCTCACCCACCACTGCAGGTAACTTCATGTCACTTCTGACTTTAAGTGGCTCTAAATAGCAATTCTCAGCTTTGCCAGTGTGCACTTTGTAACATTTTTTAAAATAACAACACATGCAGAATACCTGACAGTTGCGTGTGCATAATATATGACTAACTGCACATGAAAATAGCATGATTGCACATGGGAACTGGATAATTTTGTGTATGAAAATGCTCTGGATAATGCTCCTGCAACAGGCTGACTTTTGTGCACCTGCTCAGAGTACAGCAGCTGGAAGAAGGAATTCCCTGTGTGGGCTGGTAGGGAAAAGGCTCTGCCCTTAGGCTATGGAGTAGCAGCACAGCTGCTCTGCAGTCACCGGGCTGTGGTAGCTCAAGCATGTGCTGGCATATCTGAGCAGTTGTGGTTCATAGGCCAGTTCTGTGGAGGTGTGCTTCACAACCACAGGCAGTTGGGACTTTCTGCACAAACGCATGCTTGCTCTTGCCCAACAGAACCACACCAGTTCTGTCTTACCCAGGGCCATCCATACCCTCCAAAAGGGGGAAGGACAGGATTCGTCCCTTAGTTATGATAGAGAAGCCATGGGAGAGAGACAAGCTGCAGAATGTTGAAACTGTTCTGCACTGCATAAGGCCTGGGTTAGTGACCTGAGCACAGGTCTGGGAGCCAGGAAGCCTAGGAGTTTTAATCCGGGCATGGGAATCAAATTCCTCTCTCAGGTTGGGCACATCATACAGAGCTAGGGTGATCAGACAGCAAGTGTGAAAAATCGGGACGGGGGTGGGGAGTAATAGGCTCTTATATAAGACAAAGCCCCAAATATCGGGACTGTCCCTATAAAATCGGGACATCTGGTCACCCTATACAGAGCCTTGATATTACTTGCAGTGCAACCAATGGCAACATTTCCTAGTCATTTTAGTAGGGGTGAGGGCAGGCCCTTAACCTCTACGGTCTTTCCTTTCCGGTGTCTGTAGTGTATATGTATTGGGTAGTATCCTTTTAAATAGTTGTGAGCCCTCTCGTGGGCGCTCACTGTGTTCTATGTTTTAGAACGCAGTCGGAGCAGCAGCATGTATGTAGCTAGGCCTGGCCTTTTGTGTATATTAAGTAGATAGGGTGATTTGGACTCCCACAGTGCCCTCGCAGTTTCTACAAATTATTTTCTTGTGCAAGGAGCAAAAGACAGACCAACCTTTAAAACAGGACCACAGTAATTCTTACCAGCAAGACAAATTAGTGTTGAAAAAGTGTGATTTATTATTAGTTTCCCCTGTTTTGGATAGATAAATGCTGTTAGGAATCAATAAAATTGTCCACAGCCTCTCAGGTGCTGTTGTGTGTTATTTGTACCATAATAAGGGACTCTTGGCCAATTTAATCAGAGCAAAAAGTTTGATATACTTAAAAAAACCACAGCAAAAAACGCACCATGGCTGATGAAAACTCAGCCTGCCCTAATGTCATTGTGTTGTATCCTGCTGATTTGGGGTTGGGGAGGAGAAGGGAAATCAGGGGGCTTCCAAAGAATGAAAGTGACAAACAGCCCTTAAATACTTTCCAAAGCAACCGCTTATCCCCACACTAAGCCTCTCTTTGTTTGGTTTCCTGCCACTGGCCTGAATGAGGATGTAGCACTGCACAATTGGCCTGGCACTATCGGATGCTAACACAAACCTGGCATGAAGAGGAAAGCTGCTCTCCTCCTCTGAATGAAACGTTACGGCATGGAGCAGTCTGGCAAAGGAAGTTCCGTCCGGTTTGGGTTTAGTGGACACAGTAAGGGACTTTTCAGTGTGGAGGGGACATAACAGATAGAAAGGATGGGCTCTTGGTTAAGGGACTCACCTGTGATTCAGAAGAGCTGGGTTCAATTCCTGCTCTGTCACAGACTCTCTGTATGCCTGGGGCCAAGTCACTGAGGCCCAATGCTCGTTGGTGTTTAGGCACCTAACTCCCATTGACATCAGTGGTGTGCTAGACACCAATGGGACTCAGGCACCTAAATACCTTTGAGCATCTGGGCCTTAATTTCTCTGTATCTCTGTTCCCTATTGGTCAAACGGGGATGACGTCGCCTTCCTCCCACCCTTTGTCTTGTTTTGGCACCTTTTCAGGGCAGGGACTGCCCCATACCATGTGTCTGTGCAGCTCCTAGCACAATGGGGCCCCGGACTGGCTTAGGGTCGCTAGGTGCTACCATAATACAAATGATGATGATAACCCAGATCTCCTGTGGCCCATGTGTGGTTAGTGGCGAGGGCACTACACTGGAACTCAGGAATTCTTGGTTCTATTCCTGGCTCTGCCACTGACCTGCTGGGTGAGTTCAGGCATTTCCTTTCTCTGTTTGCCTACCCACCCTTTGTCCATTTGGCCCATACTACCTCCCACAACTGTGAAACTTCAGTGCCCGCTGCCCAGAGTCTCTTCAGAGTTGGGTGTCCTTCCTCAGCACCGATTCTAGCCTAACACAAAAGTAGTCCCCTGTTCAACCCAGGGGGATTACTTTATGATGACATCATCATCATCATCCCAGAGGGTGGAAGAACACACAGGTGGGGAGCAGTGTGAATGTCACAATATATGGGAGAAGCCCTGGCAGGGAAAGTCTCATGCACCAGCTCTTGGAAGCGCTGCTTGTACAGGTGTCTTGGGGGGGCTCTGCCTGTCCCCAGATAGCATGGGGGCAGCCAGCATTAGGTATCCCTGTCTGGGGACCCAGCAATATGTCCTGAGCTAAATTATCCACCTTTTAAACTCCCTTGTCTTCCTTCCGTCCTGGCAGGTGAGCTGTGTATGTGAGAGATGATTTATTAGGAGGAAACGGCCTTGTTCTGCAGCTGGAGGAGCAGGGCCAGCCTGGGAGCCTAGCCATGGGGCTGGCATGAGCAGAGAAGGAAGCATGCCTATGCCAGACCTCCCGCCCCAGCATTAAGCAGCGCAGCTTTGGCTGGCTGGCTGTGTGACTGCCAAGGGGGGAAAGGGTGTGTGTGTGTTCCCAGAGCCGATTTGGACTGGGGGAGAAGGAAAGCTGCCCCACCTGTCACTGTCCCCCTTTCACCTACTCCTACAGGTGGCTTCCCCTCCAGCCTCTCGCTTGCATGCCACCTTGTTGCCCTCCTCCCCCCAGCACATGTGGCTGTGTGTGAAGATGACTGATACCCACCCAGGTCTTTCCTGCCAGAAGAGGCCCTCTGTGGACCTGATCGAAGCAGAGACCACACACCCCAGGCAGCAAGGTAACAGCGTGCCGAGAGGGAGGGGGTTAGGACTCCAGAGGAAACGAGTCTGGTGTCTCTTTAAGAGGCTGATCTCTGGCTCGTCTGCCCTGCTTTGTTTTATATGCAGGCTGGGAGGGGACGGGCTAAGGGGGAAGAGTTTTTACCACCTCTGCCAGCTCACTCGCCGCATGGCACTTCCCCCGGGGGCACGTTAAACAGGAGGCAACCAGCAAGGGGCGGAAAACCCGAGGCCAGGAAGGAATGGGAGCACGAGCCCCCAGCCATTGATCCGCTCTCTGCCCCCCGGGAACCCCATATTCCCGGCCCCCCGGCTCTGTCTGGAGGAGGGGCGGGGGTCTTTTTCCTAATGCACGTGTCGGAGCTGGACTAATCCCCGCTGCGGCTGGTGGGGGAAATTGACACAAAAGAGCCCTGGAGGGTGAAACTGAGGCAGGCTGCCGGATTTTTCAGCCATTTCTTGCTGAGTTCTCGGGAGATCTGCTCCGTCTCCGATCGATGCAGAGAGAGATTCGCCAGCTGCGGGAGGGAAAAGCCAGTGCGTGTGTGTGGCGGCGTAGGGGGGACGGGCTGTAACCGGGGGCCCCGAACAAAAGGCAAATCGGGCCACCAAGTAGCCCCCCTCCCCCCCGCACGCGCTCTTTGCAACCAAATCCAGCTGGAGGAGCCAGCCAGGCTCTTCGGGAAGGCTTTGTGTCTGGCTGCTTTCGCTTTGGACTCCGCTCGGGAAGGAGAAAAAAAATGGTGCATGATTCAAACCGGGAGAGAGGCGATTTTCTGCTGCCTGGGGGGAGTGCAAAGTGGAGAGCTGGGGGAACAAGCGATCGGGTTGTGCTTTTGCCCTTCTAGCTCTCCCCCAGTAGAAACACTCATTTCCCCCCCTGTAGGAAGGGGAGATTGTTGCCCGGGGAGCCATGAACTGAAGCTGCTTCTTGGATTGTTTGCGTTTTAACTCTTCCAAGTACCACAAGTGAGCTGCCGATCCCTTGTGTTTGGAAATCTCGCCGCGTTTGGGGAAGGAGGGGCGCGATGGCGTCTGGCTTTTCCAATGGACCCTGCGTCCAGAACGAAGCGGAGGTGGTTCACCTCTGCAGGAGTCTGGAAGTTGGCACCGTGATGACTTTGTTTTACTCGAAAAAATCGCAGAGGCCGGAGAGGAAAACTTTCCAGGTGAAGCTGGAAACCAGACAGATCACTTGGAGCAGAGGGTCGGAGAAAATAGAAGGAGCGAGTAAGTGGATTCTTCTTCCTTCTTTATTTCTTTCTTTTTTTAAACAACTAACCATTGTTGCCTCTGATTCCCAAAACATCCGAATATGACTATGGGTGGGCAGTCTTGTGGTGCATGGAGGTGAGGATGGCCCTGTGACAGGCTGTGCTTTGGCTAAGCGAGAATCTCTGTAAAATAGATGCCGCAGTGAAAGTTTCCCTAACCGGTTTATTTTCAAAAGTGCCTGACATTTTTTCTCTAGTTACACTACTGGTATGGAAGTGGTAGTGCTACCCAAACCTGGATCTAAAACTGCCATGTACATTTCTACCTAGCTTCAGATTCTGGCCTCTTGCCCATCTGGAGTTACTATTATTCCGTTTTATTATAAACACTCATTTCTCTCAGAGGAAGAAGTAGATCTGTCTTAATCGTCTGATAATTCATCTGTTTTGGCCCATTTTATGTTCCCTCCCTCCCCCGCCCCACCTCCTAAAACTTCAGCAGAACTGCCAGAGAAAAATAGGTTTCCTGTTTCCTCAGGATTTAAAAACTAAAAATATTTTTAATCCATCCTTGCTGCTGTAATGTAGTGTATCTAGGTTCTCATGGTCTGAGTACCCGAATTATATGTGTGTTTGTGTGTGTGGATTAAAGTGAAGTTTAGATTTTCGTGTTTTACTTGCAAGAGCAAATGATCCAAAAAGGCTGAAGTCTTTGGAGCTAAATTGGGTTATTTAACCTTCTGCCCTGCTTTTAGAAAAGTTGCATTTCCCCTACACAGACACCCTACCATCTTTGATTTGTTGGTTGTGTGGGAATCACACTACATGTAGATACAAACTCCTTTTGTTATCAGTGCCTGCTTACGAAGACAGCAGTCTAGCCACTTAGATGGAAACTCTTAACTGTCTGTAGACCTAATTTTTATCTTAAAGCCATTAACTAGTTGACTGCTTTGTTTACTTTGGTATTTAAAGTTGTGGACAGAGTTGGTAGGTCCAGCCCTGATTTTGATCACTGCAGTGAGGTCAGATCTGAAGCAATGGAGTGCTGGAGAAAGAGATTTCCCTGCCAAATACAGGTGAAGAAATTAACATTGTGTGTAGTGACTTCTGCTGCTTTTCATTTTTCCTTGAGCTCGATAAGAATCTGCAAAACAAGAAAGGTTGTCTGTCAAATAAGCTATTGAGTGACCAATTTCTCTCTTCAGGCACATAAGCAGATGTTGTCACAGCTGGGTGGTGGATTGATGAGTTATAATCCTCTTGTAAACTCTGCTAGCTAAACTGTAACATACTAATATAATTATAGCCAGTAATCATTATATGGCTAGTACTCCGATGTGCATTAGCTAATAGGGGCTGTAGTCTGGTATGAAGTTGGTTCCAGTAAGAATGGTGCCTGTAGGCTAGGTCTAAAGTGAGGGGCGCATCCTTTGTTTCTCTGGCCTTGCAATGTTTGCAGTACGAACTGGGCATCAATATTGAATTCTAAAGGAGAGTGGCTCTCTCCTGTCTCCTTCATGAAACAGCATGATAATTGATAAGGTATCTGGTTTCTGCTTCCATGAGACATTTCTGTCTGCAAGCTAACCATCTGCTATGTGATCAGTTTGCCTGGTTCATAAGTAGAGTGGTGTGTGTTAGTGTTTAGATACTCTGGTGATGGGTGCTGTAGAAATCAGACACTAAATTGCACTCTAGAAAGCTGGATATTTATTTGACTTTCATCTTGGTAAGTGACTGCAAAAAGTTAGGATAAGGTTGGAGTCTGTGACAACCCCCCCTCCCCCATGATATATTACTAACAGCACCTCTATAGCAGAGCTTTACAGAAGGCAACCCAATAATTTAAACCCCTCTTCTGTTTTTACATGTAGCACCTGAGGCAGGAGAGAAGAACACTTTTTTTCTTTTTTTCCCATTTGTTTCCTTTGTGCATTTGACAACACTTTGTGTGTAGTGGGACTCAGGGTTTCCAGCATAGTCAGGCCCTGATCCTGCAAGCTGCTCTGTGTAGGCAGACCCATAAGCAGACCTGTTTGCTGGTTCAGGACCTTAGTCAGTTTTCCTTGTTGTTTGATGTGGCTCTTTAACACAATAACAAGAATGAGAAAAGCGTAGGAAATAGTGCACGTAAACCCACAAAGACTAGCAGGGGGCTCAGGTGTTGGGGGTCAAACTGGAAACTACTTTTAACTCCTCTCTTCTTTCCAAGTTGCTCAGGGCCCTTTTTAATTAAGTCCAACAACTCCACTGTAAGGCGAGTAAATATTATCCCTATTTTGCAAGGGGGAACAGGGACTGAAACACACAAAGGAGAAGTGACTGACGCAAGGTCTGGTCTGTTTTACACCGATTTTTATACTGCCTCATCATCATGGTGCACTGAGCGTCATGACAAAACGTACGATGAGTCTGTGACAGACCCAGGTCTAGAACCCAAGGGTTGTCCTAGTCCCATGCGTTAGCCACTAGATCACAGTTCCTCCTCACAGTACATTGTGATTCTGCCCAAAACACAGAGGTTTGAAACATTTAATATTGCCAAGGGAGGCGTCAGTGGAGCTGCTTTTCCTGCAGGACCAAGGGAGGGCAAGCAGAGCCTATTTCCCTTTGTTAGGCTAATGCCTTATGAAAGAAGAGTCTTGGGACGGCTGGAGCCCTGCGGCCTCTCCTTGCCAAAAGCATTAGGGGCGTAGGTGAAATCTAAGCAACATGTTTACTCTGTAACAGGGAGGGCAGCGTGTTACTATTTATTAGCACGATAAAGGGAGTTGGGTAATAGGTACATCGCCTGACTCCCCTTCTCTGTCACATCCAACGTAAGCTGTTTCTCTTCACTCTCGAGGCCCTTCACGGCCTATCCCTGCCGTACCTATCGTCTCTCGGTCACTTTCGAGCTGTTGGCACTTGGCGGCGCTTGGCCCACGATGCCAGCCTCCAGTTACACTTGCAAATAGGCACCTCCGCACTTTCTCCTGTGCTGCCCCACGCACTTGGCAGGTGCGCCCCGTAAACGTTGCAGAGCTCCCTCATAATCCACCCTCAAAACTCCCCTTTGCCGTGATGCCTACAAAGCTCTTTGGGCTGCTGGTGTGCTGAGACCCCTGCCTGTCATGCTGACCGGTATTGGCTCATCATTTCCTTGTACCCCCTACCTGTCTGTATCCGTATGTTGTCTCTCATCTCACACTTAGACTGTGAGCTCTTTGGGGCAGGGATTGTCTTCTTTTTTTTTTTTTTGCTCTGGGTTTGTACAGCACCTAGCACAGTGGGGTCCAAGTCCATGACGGGCTCCTACTGCAATACAAATAATAAATGTTGGGGGTAAGGTTGGTTAATAGAGGTGGGAGAGGGTTGATTTAACTGCAATAGTTAGAGCTGATGGTGGGATGTGATTTCCCACTTCAGAGAGAAGACTATAAAGGGAAGTGTTAGGCGGAAATAGAAATGACAGTTTCCTGACTGAAAAGGGCTGAGTTCTTGAGTTGTGTGCATGCCAAGAGGCTGCAGAGATCGTTCAGGTGGCTGAAGCAACTGTAAAAGAGAGCCGGATGACATCTTGTTTCAATAGCATCTTCCATCTGGGTGTATCACAGAAGGACTTACAGAATCTGCACATCCAGGGATCGCTGGACTCGCTGCAGAAATGCAGCTTTCTCTGGGGTGGAATATGCCAGCGTTTCTGTAGTGCACAGTCACAACAATTTAGGGACTTGTCGATATAGCTTGGTGCTGGGGATCCTTACCTAATTGTAGGCTGGAATTTGCAAAGGGGCTCAAGGGAGTTAGGTGCACAGCTCCTGTTGACTTTACCACTATTACATTTTTTTTTAACTGTATCCGATGAATTTTTTATTTTATTGCCTTGGTCCAGTAGACAGGTTTGTTTGCTTTAAGCAAGTAGGTAAAACGGTGTGGGACTGACTGTCTATGAGAATTCTTCCCCTCCTAATGACAATATCTTAGAGTTTCAAGAACAAACTATGTACGTTAAAGTTTCCTGGATTTTTCAGATTTTTGAGGCCCCAGTCTTGCAAAGACATAGGCACCTGATTAAACGCCTACATAGAAGTAATGCCATTGACTTTGAAGAGACTATTCATGTGTGAATTTAAGCAGGGGCACAAGAAGTCTTTGAAGGATCGGGATCCAAGCTAGACCATTTGCTGTTCGATAACCAACTTCCTTCAGCTTCTTGGGAAATAAAGAATTTTTAATGGGTGATTCTAAAGTTAGGCGCCTAAATAAGAGTGGCTTGATTTTTTCAGATCCTGCAGCTCCCATTGCATTCAGTGGCCTCTGAGATTCAGGGCACTTACATTTAGGCACCTAATTATGGAATTAGGTGTCTGAAATGTGGAAGGCCTGAATTCTTTTCCCTGCAGACATTTGAGTTTGATGGGTAAAGCTGGGAAACCCTTCCCACCCCCCAACTCTCCCAAGAACCAAGCTGGGGTGAATAACCGATAGGGTGACCAGACAGCAAATGTGAAAAATCGGGACGGGGGGGTGAGGGGTAATAGGAGCCTATATAAGAAAAAGACCCCAAAATCGGGACTATCCCTATAAAATCGGGACATCTGGTCACCCTAATAACAGACAAATAACTTGCAGGAAAGTGGGGGCTTGTAACAGCGTGGATGTGAGTGGTGCAGATAGCATAGCTGTATTGTGCTATTGCTCAGGTCCCATCCTCTCGCACCATGCTGCTGTGTAAGGCTTTCCATGGGTGGCAGTTTTAGTAGCTTGCTTGTCTTTCCGGCTGTCTCAGCAACTGACTTTGAGGCCATGACCTCCAGGTTGGAGAGGGCCTTGCACCTTTGGCTGAAGAAAGGTCCTGACCGTTGGTGGTCATTCACAAATGTAGCACTCTTAACTCTGGGGTCCTCCCCTAGTACCAGCTGGGTTACATTCTTGCCTCCCCAAGCTCCTCTTGTAGTTAAGTTTGTCACTATTCCTGTTCTGCCCTGAGCTCTGCAGTGTTGTGACCCGCTCTTAGTTTTGTTCCACCTT